TATATGTAATATTAACTTTATTAAACTGACTTCAGCAATACCTTATCAATCCATTAATAGTTTCTTCACTTAGAACATTATATTCTGGACAATTGGTAACAAATGTCGTTATTCCTAATTCACCACAATCATCGTTACTGTCCAGATTGATTATCATATATCACACAGCTTAGTGTGTTTCATAGAAAATAATGATAATTCTCCAAACGTTTTCTTACCAGGTAGTTTGTATTTTGTCTCTGCTACTATCAACAACGTGGGTACATTGTGAAAGTCAGGAAGAAGTGAATAAAAATGACGATTTGAAAAGTGAAGCTACTGGTTACGGTGGTGGAGGAGGAGGCTTTGGAGGCGGAGGAATAGGTGGAGGTGGATTTGGTGGAGGTGGAGGTGTCAGTATACAGGTATAAACTACTATTTGTTGCTTTCATTTCAACTCATACGTAAACTATAAGTGAGCAGCAAATCGTGTTGTGTACGCCAGCTTGTCCTACGTTCATTGGCTTTTTCAACTTCAGTATTATCTACCTAAGTTATTAATAATTCATCATCACTCAATTATCTAGAAATTTTTTTCAAGTTACTCTACTATTAGCAAATATCATATTATTTATTGAGGTGAAATGGCATTAATGTGCACTAAACTGCGCAGTTTACAATATATACCACACTGTTGGCAAAAACATGTTTTCAAGATTTACCATACCCAATTTTCTATGAAACCTGATTAATTATGGTGTTTAGTGATAGTAAATGTTGAATATTCATAGTCATTTTCTCTTTTCGTAAAACATTTTCAGTCTATTATCTACTAAACAATTATATGATTTTATTAAATTTTATGTCTTTAACATATGAAAAATCTAATTTTGTAAATCTAGCTTCCAAAGAATAGTGTGTTTAGCTCCTAAATACAAGAAATCGTAAGTCACCGTAATAGCTATATATATATACTTATATGTATAGGCTATACCAGTTGCAGTAGGTGAAGGATTCGGTGGTGGAAAAGGTGGAGGTGGTGGAGGGGGTTATGGCGGTGGTGGCGGAGGAGGATATGGCGGTGGTGGCGGAGGAGGATATGGCGGTGGTGGAGGAGGAGGATATGGCGGTGGAGGTGGAGGAGCAGTTGCTCTTGGAATTCTTGCTGTGCCACTGCAACTACAAGGTGGAGGAGGATTTGGTGGAGGTGGATTGGGTGGAGGAGGATTTGGTGGAGGCGGATTTGGTGGAGGTGGATTTGGCGGAGGAGGATTTGGTGG